GCTTAAACGAATGAGGATCCTCTTCAGATCGTCTTTGTGAGGATCTTGGGGATCCTTAAATCGTGTCTATTTATTGTACATTATATGAGTAGTTTTTATCAGGTACCGTTCATGTTTAATTTTAAATAAAAATATTTAAAATGATTTATGACAGCACGATGTACGATAAACGGACACAATTTGAGAATTCTTAGAATCCTCACAAAAATAATCCGAGGATGATCCTTATTCAACTTAAACAACAACAAGAATAATAATAACATGCCATTATATATATATATATATATATTTTTTTTTTTTTAATTTAATTTTATTTTATGACAGAGAGGGATCCTCTCCGGATCCCTTCCACCAAGTCCTCATCAAACAATCCGGACCTTTGAAATTTGATATAACGGCTAAAGTTATTATAACCTTTAAAGTGGATCCTTATTTGTAGCTGTTGAATCAAATTTCAAAGTTCTAGATTAGTCGATAAGGAGGTCTTAGTGGAAGGGATCCAGAAAAGATTCCTTTCCTTTTATGGCAAGGTCATGCAACGACTGTTGCTAAAAACAAAAACCAAATATGCAACGACTTAATGCAACTTGAAAAAAAAAAGGAAAAAACTGCAACTCAGTGAGATCACGGTTATGTTATGTCACACGACTACTCAACATATGTGTGTGTGTGTATTTATATTTAGCATTAATGATTTGACTGTCAACTTAGCATAACCCCAATTAATCTGTAGAATCAGCTAGCCCCGTTCGTGGCTGCTCCATCGTTCATGGGCCATGGCTAGTTAATAATGATGGCAAATGTTAATTTGCTTGTATTTAAAATTTTGAGTTCGATTATTTATTTATTTTGATATCTATGTACTTAAAGTTTATATATATAAATTAAATGTCAACTGTTCACACTTCAATTTTACTATTTTTGTCTATTTCAAAAATAAATATTCTCTTAGTCATCGAGTAATTAAAGAGGTCTGGTCACTTATTTTTGGATTTAATTTAAAGATAGATAATAATTAAATAGTGTAGTTTAAGTTTTTGTAATGTCCCGCTTAGTGGGTTAGTCTTGTTTCAACGAGTTGATGTGGCCTCCTTGTTTTAACGATTGGATTTCGTTTCAGAGTTGTCACATTTGTCATCTTTGTAGCAAATTCGCACTAACATTTTTAATTTCTCGTGATCGTTTAGAGATTTTACCATTATTGTTCATTGTGCAACTTTCTCTTCCGATCAAGAAATTGATCATTAAAAATAGATATATTAACACGATCATGCACTTAATAATGAAATTTTTTGTATCGATTCTTGTAAAAAGAGAAAAAATAAATCCAAATTTAATTCATAAACGGCTTCGAGAACTTACTAAACGTATGCAACCATATGCATTAAATTTTAAAATACGAATTTAAGCTTATAAATAATGTACGTCAGAGATTAAGAATATTTGGATTATGGTAAACAATGAATTTCAAACTTTTATTATAAGTTGGCTCACAGATCATAAAATACAACATGATTTTGCACCGATCGTGATATTTCTTTTTATTTGAAAAACCTTTAGATCACATCCTGTGACGTTCTTATCAAAAATTTACTATTTGATTATCATCAAATCGCTATCATTTTGCATCGAAAAATGAATGGGCAGTCCAACAGATGGGATTCCTTACATTTCATATAGCTAGGCGTAAATCCAGGGGCAGGGAATCAGAGATTGCTTAAACAACAATAATAACAGGCCATTTTATATATATTTTTATTTTATAATTTTAAGATAAGGTCATGCAACGACTGTTGACATAAACAAAAATAAAAATGCAATTTGATTGTCAACTTAGCATAACCCCAATTACCCTTTAGAATCAGATAACCGCTTTTGCGGCTGCTCGATCGTTCATGGCTAGTTCATAATAATGGCAAATGTCAACTTTGACGAGGCGCTTGTATTTAAAGTTTTGAGTTCGATTCTTTATTTATTTCGATATCTATGTACTTAAGGGTTATATATATATATATATATATATATAAATTAAATGTCAATCGCTCATAAACTAAATCGTATTAAACTAATTGAAAAATGAAAACCAACTATAAAATCTGTTTGCCGGGTATACAATTTGTAGGTATTGATGAATATTTGTGACAACAACAAATATATATAATCAAAGGTCAATAACACATACACAATTAATTTTGTTGCTTGAATTTTTGCCTTTGTACGGAATCTGCGCACTGCACTACACACAGTTTGGTCTCATAAAAAATTAGTTGACTATCACCAAAAGAAAAGAAAAACTAGTTGACTTTTATGTTTTGTGGCGGAGTAGTGCAAGGGACACAAATTCGTTCACCAAATGATTTTATAATCTTAGGTATGTCATGTTATTAACTTAACTAGTTGATTACTCACAACAATTTTATAAAAATAATTTTACAAACACAATTTAACGGTTTACTCAAATGTTTTACTACGTAACTGATTATTTTCACAGTACAACAAAAAAAAAAAACCATATTATAAAAATACATCGACATCAAACAAGATAGCCATAAAAGTTGGGAGTTACCTCAATGAAGGAGGAGGATTGAGGTCTTGACAATACGTCATACATACCAACTAGTCCTTATTGTTGTAGTTTTTATAGGTTGCATAGTCCTCCTGTAAATAAGGCCCAAAATTTCTCTAGACCCATCTTGACAAGGCAATAGTTGGGACTTGGGCAGTCGGAGTTAATTGTTCGATCCACTCGCGAAGAAACGAGGCCTTCTTTATGTGGGGATTGTTTTTGTTCACAATAATGGGATTCCTAGTTCTTGGACACCCGAATGATAAATATTTTTTGGGACATTTTTTTTTTCGTAAAGCTTTTTTTTCAAATTTAAAATCCGCGAAAACATAACTCAAACTTAGCCACCCAAGTATAGTATTTTCATTAAACTTCATAATAATCGAGTTTCTTTTTCTCTTCTACAAAATTTTCAGAAGCGATCCCAAAATTGACTCTCATTCTCCAAATATAGAAGGAAAAAAAAAAGGCAAACTTCAAACATGTATAAATATCTCATACCCTTTTTATATTATGTCCATCAACAATGGTGTGAAGGATATTCAAATCCATCGGTAACTAACCAATTCATGAAGGCTATGCTTTCCCTTTCAATCCTTTAAATTAGCCTAATCAAGTAATCACGAGAAGGCCTTGGGGGAGAATTGGAATAATGAGAGGAAGAATGCCCCTGAATCATGTTATAGTACGCCCCAAGATTGGAAAGGGGGAAAGGAATAGAAAGATAAATGGATGGGGAATCCCCCTATGTGCTTGGGGCCAACACCTATGCAATACTATCAACCCTTAGAAGATAGTTTAGCATCACCCCACCGATGAGTTCAGAAAATAGACTAGTGAATCAGGCAACCCCTCTACCTACCGATCAAATGCCCATTTCCCATGCCATCAATCAACAAATCCGAGGAACTTATCTCAAACACACCTTTTTTCTTTGCATGCACATTCAATGTTTATTTTTAATTGTTAGATTCAATAAAGCAAAAACATGAACCGAACATCCAATTATTATTTCTAACTGGTAGACTCAATTAAGTAAAGAAAATCAACGAACAAAAACAAATGGGTGAGTAAAAAGAGAAAGAGGGGTATTCTACAAATTAATTTTCCAACACTCATTCAATGTTTATTTTTAATTGTTAGATTGAATAAAGCAAAAACATGAACCAGACAACCAATTGTTATTTCTCATCGGTAGATTCAATTAAGTAAAGAAAATCAACGAACAAAAACAAACGGGTGAGTAAAAGCTAAAATTTAGCTTTTAGTGTTAGATCATTCCAACACTCAACTAACGTTTGTCACATTGAAAAAGGAAAAAAAACAAATCGCCCACCGTGGGGCTCGAACCCACGACCACAAGGTTAAGAGCCTTGCGCTCTACCAACTGAGCTAGACGGGCTTGTTGCTTAGACCGTTCCATTTTCATAATTATTCGGAAAAATGAGACGGTGTTGTTGTCGATGCCCTTGGTTTTTAATCTGGCGCCAAAACGTAACGGCCTTACGTGACTGATCTGATTGACTCTCAAATCTCGATCAGTGTTGCTGTTGTTAATCCGTTGCCTATCCCTTTTCCCAAACAGACCAAAGAATTCTAGAAATCCCAAGATCCAATTTCTCCGCCGCCCACCATGAACCACCACCACCACGACCACCACCCGCAGATTCCATCCAAGAACCCAGAACAAGATTCTTCTCTCCCTGCAGCTTCTTCTGGCTACCGCAAGATCTCCCTCCCCCTACTCCGCCTCTGCATCTCCTACCCTTACAACCCTCCGTCTGCGTCCACCGCCAACAACCCATTTGAGCACTCTCTTCCTGCCTCTCTTTGCCCAACATGACTCCTCCCTACTCTCCTGACCGCCACCACTTTCCCAAGACTACGTCCCATTCCCAGCACCGGTCCTGCCTCCTCTTCCTCCACCGCACACTCTCCGCCGCTCCATCTCGGATCTCAACCACTCTCCGGCCAAGACCTCGTCCCGCTCCTCCACCTCCTCCCAAGACTTCCACTTCTCCACCGACTTGGACACACCCCGATTCCAAGGTAATACCAAATAATTTAATTAATTTATGCTCTAAATTTTTGAAAACCTCATTTCTTTCCCTCGTTTTGGATTGCTGATGAAAGGGGTTGTTGTTTTTTATGCTTTAATCTGCCAAAGGTGAATTATTTATCTGTTTTTGGATTGTATGAAATGGGGTTTTGGGGAAATTGTTAATTTACGTAAAGTTTGAATCGTTCTCCCTGTTTCGATTGTTTTTGAAATTGGTTTTTGGGGAAAATGATTGCAGAGGCTGAGGAGGATGAAGGACGGCTTGAGAGAGATGAGCCTGTGGTGCCAGCAACTGATGCGTGAAGCAGACTTGATGGAAGAAGACGAAGATCGTGAGGAACAAGCGGTGGAAGAAGAACAAGTGCAAATTGTTGATGACACTGATCAAGATTTTCATGACAACGCTACTGCTACTGCTGAGGTATTGGGTCTGAAATTATATGATTTTCTCATGATTTTTAACCAATCAATCATAGTAAGATTTGGTATTTTGATTTCTTTCGAACGAACAAGATCAGAAAGAAATTATGGCCATTTTGTTGTCTTGGGTCTGAATGATCTAACACTAAAAGCTAAATTTTTTTATTTCTTTCCATATTTCATGTATTTTCTAATTAACCGGTCAAAGCAAGCATGATTTGGCATTTTCTTATTAAAATGTCAGCTAATTTTGATGCGTAAAGAATTTGCAGGATGACGGGGGGAAAGATTTTGCCGAATCTGTGAGTGTGGGGAAGAAGGGTGACTGCTTGGTCATTCACTTCAGGTGTCACTGTGATAAAGCCTATCAGTTCCTTCTCAGTGGAGGCGACTGCTACTACAAGCTCATGTAGATATCCATCTCTATTATCCAACCCACTGGAAAAAACTGAGCACTCTACATTCTCTGGTTTGGATTTTTCATACACGTAGGTTAAATTCTTTTCATGATACTTAACTCAGTCACACTGATCTAATTCTTAGGTTGTTTGAATCTTCGGCTTAGATCGTACCCTTTTCATAGATTCTTTTTGGATGAAGTACTCAGTGCCCTGATTGGTGTTAGTTTTACAAATCATCTGGTTTTTCCCCTTACTTCTTCTTTTCATTGTAATGAAGTACAATATGTGGAATATTGCATGAATCGCAAAGGCGAAAAGATATGTGGAATGTACTTTGTTGCAATTCTTGTTTGGAAGCGAATGAATAAAATTTCCTGATTCTCTTGTGAATGAATACATGAACCTTATCCTTCAAATGTCATGAAATTTTGGATGTCAGTAACAATTTCTTGCTGATTTCAGTCACTTGTGCATCTCCCAATCCTTCGATTGCATCTGGTCATTCGATTGTTTAGAATTCTGCATGCATACTAAGATTGTCATAGCTGCTTTTTTGTTAAGCTCATAAGCATATAACATCCACACTTCATTTGAATTGTATAATCGTAAGTTGAATGAAATCACGAGGAAAACAAGTTGTTCCTTGTTCTGTGAGTAGAATTTGTCAAATGATTTTTTTTTTCTTTCTTTGTTTCCTTGTTTTTGTATGTGAGTTTTTATGCTCGTTCTATTAATATGTGGTGGAAAAGACGGCTCCAAATTAATCGTTATGAAAAAATACCCTTTTTGACAGAAAACTTACAATTCGTAGGTTGTTTTATTCCTCGTCCTACATCGTACCCTTTTTGACAGAAAACTTACAATTCATGTTCTCTCTAAAGTCAAATGAAATCGCGAGAAAAACACGTGGTCTAGGGGATGGGATTTTAGTGCAGATTTAAACAAGTATATGGTAATGCTTGCAGAATTGACAAGGATAGCTGTGGAGCCAAAAATAATCACCAGACGACACATGGATTTTTGGATAGAAGAGGACAAAAATACCCTTGAGGCATATCGGGATTCCTACGCTATAGCAGTGGACAATCATCCCTCAATCAAGTCAAAAGTGCCCAAAATAGGTAACAATTCAAAATCCATCTCATCAAATCCCTTCTACAAGGTAACTCCCAAAACCTATTTCATTCCATATATTTTTACCTCTTTTTCCCTCTTTTAGCTAATGAATTAGCTATCATTCCATAACTTATAAAATATTCCACATAAATTACATAACCTCCAAAATATTCATTCAAAAAAATGTGTTAATTGGCTAATTAATGGATTAATTACCTAATTAATCCATTAATTGCCAAATAACTCACATATTAAACCACAAAATAAACACAAAAAGCATCCCAAAGGTCAGCCACCTTTTCTCCAAAGGGGACCGGCCATGCCCTATAAATACTACCCATTTTTCTCTAAAAACCTAGTTCCATACTCTTGCAAAACTCTCAAAAACTCTCCAAACACTTCTCTCTAAATTCGAACTTTGGCATCGGAGGTTCTTCGGGCAAAGCCCCCCCCCCCCCAATTCATCGTGGACGCTTGAGGCCCTTGGCCTTGACCTAAGGTGTTAATTGTTTTGTAGGTGCAATCTTGTCAAGAAGAAGAAGGCGGAAATTTTCATCCACAATAGCCAAAAGGTTTGCAAAAATAAGTCGAGCAGAGCAGGCAATGTAGAAAGTTTCAAGTTGCCGGTCAAATTTGTTTTTGTGTTCTTGCAAATGTTTGTGCTAGTAACAAATTTGGCAATTCAAATCTCTCTTTACAGTTTGGTATTTTGCAGAAGATTAGGATACATTCCCTTGTGGCATATGCATTTTTGATCGAAGATCTAGCGATTAAAAAAAACTGAAATTTCGGATACTCTGGAGCATTCTAGAAAACTATTTGAAAACCAATGATCTCCTACTTTCCTGAATAAGCTAGTGATTGTTGTCCGTGAAATTGTACTCATGTCTCTAGAACTTAGTGTTCTATCACATCACAACTCATTGAATCTATCACTTTACAACTCAGCTAACTTAATAATAATGAGCCGTTAGAAGTTAGTGTTCTTTGAGTCTTCCTTCCTTCAATGATGGATTGGGAAAATTGAAAAGCTTAGGGCATGTTTGATACTTTACTGGAATCCAACTTTTTAAATTCAAAAACATTTTTCAAGTTGTAGGCATTAAAACTTGTTTTGTAAGACTATTTCAAAAAACCTTTCTTTCCCTTCGCTCCTTACTCCGAATCTATCTCTCTCCTCTATTTTTTTTCTTCCTACTCTCTCCTCCAATCCCCTCTCTTCATTCTCTCTCTTTCCTCCTCCTCTCTATTGCCTCAATGCTCTCTTCTTTCTCATTGATCATCTCTTACTTTCCATGTCAAGGGTGCTTGATTATATTGAAATTTTGTCAGCAGTTAGGTGGGTTTCTATCTCACCAGCCGTCCTTCACTTCCTCTCCTGCTCTCCACATTAGGATGGCACGAATTTGAAGGGATTTTGTATTCAAATTTTCGTCGCTAAATTATTAGTCAATAATTGAATGATTAATATTTTACGAATAAAAATTTAATACACGGTACATCGAAGTATAATAGAATTTCAAAGTTTCGGTTGCAAAGCCCATATTGGAAAAATTATGAAATAAAAAAGAGTTGTAATTTCTTACCAAATTGATTAGAAGAGAATTAATTGGGCAGTGTATCAGATGCACATGCTTTTTGTGTTGTGAATTTGGATTTGATTTGTTCAGTGAAAACCCAATAAAGTCAGACAGAGGCAAACTTAGAAAATGGTCTTGCTACACTTCCTCATTCTTGAGTAAAGGGTACATAAAAATTGTTTTATGTTTACTAGCCACGATGTTAAATTTGGTATTTTATCGAGTAACCTAAGTTAGTTTTGATTGGTGAGCCAAATAGTGAAATAACAATCACACTAAAAAATAAAATTATAAAAAAATGTGAAGTATGTCTGGTAAAAGTTCGACCTGTTTCAAAGAAAAGTAGATGTCCCATTTTTGTTTTCACACTTTGCTTCCCATGATCGTTACCTAGTCAACTACAATCCAAAAATGAACGAACGAACATGACATTGAAGCCGTTGATGAGAATAAATTTCTTCTACAAATTTATGAATAAATTAATTTTAAATTCGTCATTTACGATATTAAAATGCAAAACTACTTATTTTTAATTTTGAAAGAATATCATTAAAGAAAGGAAAACTTTTACACGCCCCATATTGCATATGCTGCCAAATAAAATGCACCTGATTAGGAATCCCACGCGCTTGTTCCTCTAGTCGACCATACACACGGATCTTGCCAGCTCGTGAAGTACAACCGCGCGTGTGAAACTCCCAACAGTTGCGCACAAACGAACGGTCGTTACGGATCCAACACCTCACATGCAGGTCCCAAATTTCCAAACAATACTTTTTACTCAGATCCGCTGTGTTTGGTACAGAAATTGACTCCAAACAAATCCCCATGTGAGACCCACCCCACCCTCACCAATCCCGTATTCGTCCCTGTTTCCTCGGACTCACTTGCGTTTATAGGCGCGTGTGCAGTTGAATCAGGATGCTATATTAGTGGTGTTTTCATTCTATTATGCATTGTTATGAGTTTTAACTTTTTTTTATGTAAGCTCGTAAGATTGTTACGAGATATTGTCACTTAGCGCCTCATTTTCACGTAAATCATTCTCTCTAAAACACACATTCAACATGGGAGCTGGCCAATAGGATCGTATACATCGAGATTGTACATATGTCAATTCCAACTGTTTAATAATGAAGTGTTAGAGAGCATTACAATCCAATTAGTTAAACTATCCTACCTCTTAATTTTCTTCCTCTAAACCTGAAAAAACTATCAAGAAAATATAGAAATATTTTTGCTCACCATCATTAATGATGGTGGCATTGAATGAGTTTAAATTTTGAAAACTTTATGTTGAATAAATATAAATTTCAAAACTTAAATTCATTCAATAATAATAAGTAAGATGATGAATATTACCACCGATTGACGTTTGAGAACGATGAGCATAAATGTGCACGGACAAGCAATATAAAACAAACCAACGGCTAAAACCAAGGGGTATTAGCCTCAATTGAGCTGATGGGTGATATACTCTGCATTGTCTTCACTGTCTCCCTCCCACACTAGATTGTTCAAAGCAAAATGATTAAGAGTGATACGTAACACAGTTTCTAGATCTCTCCATTAACAAGATAGCATATTCTTCTATCTTCTTCTCAAGGCAATTCATCCTCAATGGCAGCTTACATAATTATAAAGAATATATATATTGATAGGTAACCACACTTCTACTTCCCCTCATTGTTTCAATCAAAACTCCATACAATCACAGCAACTTTCAGTCTTTCCCATTTTCTTCAAGTCCCCAATTAATATTAATTAGTAATTACCATGATTTATCCATCAATTTCTTCTGAAAATCCATGGATATCATCACTGTCAATCACCCCAAAACCCCCACCGAAAAAGCAACCTCCTTTCCACCGAAACCCCATCCTTTGTTTTCACCGCCTAAACCCAGCAGGACCCATTCAACCTAAAACCCAGATCAAAAACCCAATCCTGCCAAACTCAGCAACTCAAGTTGTTTACAGAAAAACCAGGAGAAGCAGCAGCCATGAGGAAAGGAGAGGCTTTCGATTTCCCCAACTGGGTAGGCAGCAAATGTTGTTTCTGTGTGGATTTGGGTACTGGATTCAGGGTTTCAGGTGTTTTCCATGGCTGGCTCTCAACTTCCACATGGCCCACAATCTGCAAATGCATCCTTCCACATTGCAGCTTGTGCAGCATTCTGCTAACCTTCCCATGGTGGCCAAGCCCTTGTATGGAGTCCTTTCTGATGCTCTTTACATTTCTGGTGCTCATAGAGTTCCTTATATCTCCATTGGAGGTCAGTTCAAATTTTCTTGCCTTATCTCCTTCGTGGTTTTTGGTCTGATTTCATTTTATTTCCTACTTTTCTTATGTTCATTGTAGAGAGTTATGTTAAATTTGAAGATGCATTGTCAGTGTAAGGTCATATTATTTGTGCTTTTTTATTCGAATCCGTAAAGAGGAAGGCTTCTTTACGATGGTTTATGTTGTATTCTTGTACTTTTTGTTCTTTCCTTTGCTTGGTTATGCTGTAGATTCTATTTGTCTGATGCCTCCGCAAATTCGTTTGATTGACAATCGAGAGTAAAAGTTAGATTGTTAATATAAGAAAGATTTTCGATTTGTAATACAATAAATTTCTCCGTATAAGTTTCATGAATCCTACTAGTTTTATGCTGTAATTCCTTTGAAAGACTGGCTTAAGCTTAACAACACTATTTAACGGGGTAAACAATTTATCGATCAGAAAGTAGAATGAACTAAATTTGGACTTGGAAAAGGCAAATTAAAAAAAAAAGTCTTGTTTGCTGTGTGAGACCTCTCGGCCTTGGGTATTACTGATGGCTTGAACAACTTCTCATGGGAGAATCTGATGGAGTTCGAACTTGTCAGTTGTTTTACAGGTCTTGGCTTGGGGGCCAATGGCACTGATCCCTGTTGCAGCTCGAGCAGTTCCTACCCTCATGGCATGCATTCTTCTGAGTAATCTTGGAGCGTCCATTACGGAAGTAGCACAGGATGCTCTTGTTGCAGAGTATGGCCAAGAAAAAAATATGACTGGCCTCCAGTCTTATGCATTCATGGCAGCAGCTGCTGGTGGAATCCTTGGTAACTTAATAGGTGGTTATTTCTTGATGAAAACACCGCCCAGAACCATGTTTCTCGTATTTGCAGTTTTACTTTCCGCTCAGCTTGCAATTTCGTTGAGAATACGAGAGGAATCTCTTGGTTTACCACAGTTGCCGGATAACAGTCTTATACGAAAGCCAATCTTTGAAAGTATCAGAAAACAATTTTCTGAGCTGCAGATGGGAATTCAAGAGGAAAGTATTGCTCGCCCTCTTATTTGGATTGTAGCTTCTATTACCATGGTCCCAGTCCTCTCAGGTTCCATCTTCTGCTACCAAACACAATATCTACATCTCGATCCTTCAATCATTGGCATGTCTCGAGTGATCGGCCAGTTGATGCTTCTTTCCACTGCTGTACTTTATGACCGTTATTGGAAAAAAGTTCCAGTGAGAAGGTTGGTTGGTGTTGTTCAGCTGGTGTATGCCTTTTCGCTTCTTCTTGACCTGGTTTTAGTGAGACGGATCAATGTCAGACTGGGGATTCCAAATGAGGTGTTTGTTCTTTGTTTTTCGGGGTTAGCAGAGACTATTGCACAGTTCAAGATCTTGCCTTTCACAATACTATTTGCGGATTTGTGCCCTCAAGGATGCGAAGGATCTCTAACTTCTTTCTTAGCATCAGCCTTGTGCTTTTCGTCAATAGCTAGTGGGGTTTTAGGTGTTGGACTGGCTTCTCTGATAGGAATAACGGCAGGCAACTACTCAAGCCTGCCCTTCGGGATTATGGCACAATTCCTTGTTGCTTTATTGCCCTTAGGATGGCTTTATATTTTACCTATGTCAGAAGGTGTCGTTAGGCAGGAGCGGAAGAGAGGTTTCAGTAGAAGAAGTCAGAAAAATAGAAGGGTCGGTCGAGTAGTGTATGGTTCAGTATTTATCTACAGACGTGAGAGAGAATCAGAGGCAGAAGAGTGAAAGAACAACTTTTACAATTGCATTCTTTTTCAGATAGCAAGCGGTTTGAAAATGAAAGCGCGTGTACCTGAGGGAGAATCTGTATCTTTTGGAGATAGCCGGGGGAGTGAAGGATAAGAAGAAGACTCTAGGATTGCCTTAGTGGTGTTCATTTTCCTTGTACACTCGGACGACTTGGAAGGAGGCTTCATCTCGAACATCAGTTCCAACGATAGGTTCTGTGACGAAGACGGAAGTTGTTGCCTCGTGTTAAATTGTGCTGACCTGTCAGAAAAGTAATCAGTTAGTCATAATACAAGTTTACTAAGTGCAAATGTACATGTCATCGGTGTGGAGCTCTTGCCATGGGACGAAGAGGGAACGGAAGAAATGAAGAGTTGCGGAGCTATGAGGTACTTTATGTCCGACTCACCTCTCCCAAGAGCAATGAGGCATCTCTAGTAAAATTGCAGTGAAAATCGGAAGAAAATGTGTGCAATGCAGTGAAATTGGAAGAACATCGAATAGAAAGCCAGGAAAAGGAAAAAAATAGAGAGCCCGATCGATCGGTACTCTGAGCAAAACTGTCAAGGCCGTTCGTCGGTGAGGCACATAATATTTCAGATAAATAGAGGATAAGACTCGGGCGAACTCTAGCCTCCTACTTCCTTTTCTATAAAACTAGGAGTGTCCTGTTTTGTTAGAGAAAAGAAGAAAATGACATGACGTTCTGGGATGAGGATCTTTGTGAGGATTCTCACATCCTATCTGTTCATTGTACATTGTGTGATCAGCTTTTATTAGTTACTGTTTGTGTTTAATTTTAAATATAAAAAAATTCAAATATTTTCTAGCCGTAGAATGTATGATGAACGAATTTGAGGATCCCGGACGGGACCCAAATCTGACATTCTGTGCGACATACAGTACTAGTGGCATACATATGGACACACACATTGTCACAAAATTATTTCGAATTTGGGAACGAGTGCGGCACTTGTCACTTGCGACATTCCTCTGTCATGCGTGATAGGGTAGACGAATGCGGGAGTGACAAAATCATACCAAGTTTTAAGTCTCTAAACACGAATTAGGCAGTGGTTAATGCGGAACCCTCGTGGCCAATAATTGTTCAAAATTCTTCCAGTAGCAGCAGCTGGCAGAGATTTCGTACATATGGATTCAACCGTCAGATTAACAAAGGCCGGCCAACCGTCTCAAGAATTGGCGAGGCGTAAACAATGGAAAAGTGACACGAAAGAGGAACACAAATTGCTATCAAGGAAATTTCATTGCGTAAATATTAACCACCGTTTCATAATTATATAGTTTTTTAGTTTTCAATTTTTAGTTCTGAAAACTGAAAGTAATTACCGAACAAGTTTTCAATTTTTAATTTTCAAGAACAATGACAAAAAAACTGAAAATTGAAAATAAAATGGGTGTCAAGCGACCTCTTATTTAGTTGGAAATGTATACAATAATTTACTATTAGACCAATATTAGACCTGGTTTGGTACTGAGGTGATTCTGAAAAAAGCTGCTATAAAAAAAAGCTGGGAGCTGTTTTTGTGTTTGGTAAACACTCAGCTTCAGCTTTTTTTCACAGTTTTGGATGAAAAAAAGCCAAAAACAAGAAGCTGCAAAACCTAGCTTTGAAAAACTGGTTTTTTTTCACATCTGTTTTACATAAAAGTTTACCAAACACTCTAATACTGCTTTTTTTTTTCAAAAGCACTTTTACAAAAAAGTTTACCAAACACTCTGCTGCTTTATTTCACAGCTGCTTATTCTCACAGCACAGCAGAAGCAGCTTTTTTTCAAAGCACAGCAATACCAAACCAGCCCTTAGACAATAAGTTACACATAGTTGTGGGCTTGTATCTCCATCTTGCCAACAGAGAAGTGTGGAATGGGGCTTGAAGGGTGTCAAACTCAAGCCGGAAGGAGACGGGGCAAACAATGTATTTCAAGCTCATAACGTAATCTCTCAATGGAAATCTGTGTATTTCTCGTATGACAACCGATGTGATATTTGCAACGAGAAATCCTACTAACTGCCACGAACTGCAAGGGGTTTCGGCTTCTTGTAGGCAAGTTGCCATCTACTTAATCAAGATCTTCTCAAGTTTACCATCTACTTAATCAAATTGACAAGGGTTTTGCACTTCATCTCTCTATTACTATTTGTTAGGATAGTCACGCCAATGGGAATCATGCTGAAACTAAAAAGGAAATTTGTGTATTCGGATTTCGTTCTCAGGAGAAAAAGATGGTAAGCAACTAACAACAATCATTACATCACTAAATCTAAATGGTACCTGCAATACTATCGCTGGCATCTATCCCCATCAGATACAATCTATGCTGGATGTTCAAACGCTTCAGAAGAGCAGGCTCCCTTCATTGCTAAGATGAGGTAATCCAGCATCTCATAGATTGAAATCGAACGAGGATGTAATTTATCAGCAACATAGAAACAATGAGTCTTGGAATTAATGCTTATCCAACTGCATCCGGGCTCCTTCTTTAAACCTCTTTCTTTCATCACTCTTCTCATTTCCGCTACAGCATCCCATCTCCTAGACGATGCATAAAAATTTGAAAGTGAAATATAGTTAGAAGGGTTTCTGGGTTCTACTTGAATAAGGAATCTATAAGCTAGATCTTGCATGTCATGATTCCCATGCAACACAGAAGCAGTAACTAAGGCCCCCCAAACACTTGGACCAGGTTCTACAGGCATCGTTTTGATGAAATTTAATGCTCGATCAAGCTCTCCTGATTGGCCTAACAGATCCACCACACAAGCACACATCTCCACCGTTGGTTTAATTCCAAAATCAGCTGTTACAGAGCTATATATGGAAAGGCCTTCTTTTGCCAATCCTGACCTTCCACAAGCAGAAAGGAGCCCAACGATTGTTATTGGGTCGGGTTTGATTCCAAGATGGAGCATCTTATTATACACATCAAGGGCTTCCTCACCCCTTCCATGTAATCCATATCCTGAAATCATTGAGCTCCAAGAGATTGCATCCTTGGAAAAAGAATCATCCTCAAACACTTGCCTTGCAAAATCCAAGCTCCCACATTTCGAATACATATCGATTAAAGCATTACACAAAGCTACTTCACGACTCATTTCCTTCCTGATAGCAAATCCATGAATTTGTTTTCCGCCCATTAAACCAATGTGCGAACTACAAGCAGGGAGGACACTCACAAGTGATACTCTATTGGGTTGTACCCCATCTTCCACCTGCATCTTTTGAAAAAGAACCAAAGCTTCATCAGGAGCGCCATTCTGCACATAGCCATTGACCATCGCCGTCCAAGCATAAACATTTCTACACTTCATGTGGTCAAATACCCGCCTAGCCGAAGCTACTCTATCACTCCTAGAATACATATCAATCAAACAACACCCAAGATGAACATCCGAAACCCACCCGAAATCCAATTCATACTTCACAACATAACAATGAAGTTCCCTCCCATGATCCCATTTCCTGATATCATGCCCTCCACACATAGGCAAAAGACTCGAAACAGTAAATCCGTCAGGTTTCACCCCATTCATCACCATGGATATAGCAATTTCCCAAATTTCCTTATCAAAATTATGATCCAAAGAACTTGTATACCCCGCTATTAACGCATTCCAAGACCCCACATTTCTTTGAGGCATTTCATCGAACAGTCTCCGACACTCATCAATCCTCCCGCATTTATAATACGAAGACATCAGAGAATTCGCAACAACGGTATCCAAGACAAACCCGGCTCTCAAACCCTTCCCATGAACATACTTTCCGGTAGCCAAGTCCCGAACCTCGCTGGAAACTTTCGCCATGGTCGCCAAGGTATAATCATCCGGTAATACATAACTATTGCACATTTCCACAAACAGCTCAAAAGCTTCATTGTACGCACAATTCTTCACATACCCGTTAATCAGTGAGTTCCATAAATACACACTCTTGAGAGGAACCGAGTCGAAGACGAGTTTCGACTCGGTCGGCTTTCCGCAGAGTGCATAAGCAGAGATGAGCTTTGTGGCGAGGAAAGGGTTTTGTTGGAGGCCATGAGTGAGAATGTGGGCGTGAACTTGTTCGGCGAGCGAAAGGGAATGGTGGGTTCCTGCAAGCTGAAGAAAATGGAGGAGATTCAGGGGAAGGTGGACAGCAGTGGCGCAAGTGTAAGAACGGGAGGTTGTGAGGGCAAATGTTTTGCATGCGTACGAGAGGTTCATCACACACGGAGAGATCGTTGGAATTTGGCGGGGATTTGGAGTTCTGAGAGGAACTCTTTCTGTTGAGGTCTGAGGCTATATCTGTCATTTTACTTACGTTTTTCTTGTATTATATTATTTTTATTTTTTTATTAAAAGTATTATTATAAACAAATTTACACTTTATTTAATGTGTTGAAAAGAAAAGTTCTAATCACTGGACCGGAGCAATCCATTATTTGCGGATTATGTTGTTTTTATTTATTGGGTTTATTGTCCAGAAAAGAAAAGAAAAAGGATAGGTCTATTCACAGACCCATCTTTATCTTTTACAAATCCTAGTTAATTTTTGTTCACTGATCTTATTCAATTTATTTGATCCAACGGCTAAAACTTGAGAAGAGTATGAGAGGTAAAAATGAGTAAAATGAAAATCAGATTATTTTTTAGAAACCAATGTTACAATTAGCGTTTTCTTTTTGTAAACGAACACAACTTTTTTTTTTTGGTTGAAAACGAACACAAAACTTTGAGTGCATATGTGAACAACACTATTTACATGTTTGGCTTAATTCATCAAAACTTCAATCTATAACCTTTGTACAGTAAAAAGAGGGCCAGAATTCAAAGGGGGTAGAGTCCAACAATTACCCTGACTATCAACACAACAGCCATGCCATTTGATTCTGTAAGAACCCGCTGGAAAAGCAGAAACATCAAGCAAGCAACTTGAGAACCCTTGCCCTCTCTCGTTCAGTTCGAAACGCACGAACGTACTCACGAACTCGCCATCATTTTTACCCCTTCGACGCTTATTACTCTTTTTCGTACTGCACTCTGTTACATACTGCAGCAGCTTTTCATTCATTTCTACAATGTCATCAGCTTCCCAAGCCTGCTTGTGCTCCCTGTTTTCTCCACTTCCTCTTGGCTCGTGAAAGGATACTCCACTGTAAAGCATGCAGTACAAAGTCTTCAACCGCACTCGGATGTCTGGTGGCACATTTCTTAACTGAAGACACAAATGTAATGATAAGTGGAAGCCGGAGGAGACATATATTCCATCTGGGTTTCTTGTTTCATTGACAGCGAAGAGTTCTGACCCAAGGCAAGGCCTGAAATTTATGTCAGTGGAAAACATTAGAATGGTGGTGAAAATAGAAAAGCAAAAATCATATAACTAACATTATGATGTTAGAGCTTGCTAAACAGACTTAAAACATCATATCTAAACGATTAACCAGTCCGAGACTAAAACCATAAAGTCGAAGCTTTAAATGGTGACTTTTACCCTAAATAATCAACTATGTCAAAAATGATATGAAAGCTTTAAAAGATTGAGTAAAAGTAAGATATTCTCCACGCCTTGATTCTTAAAGAATGAATCGCCTGTTCAAATAAAAGGCCTAGGACATGGAGAAATCAACAAAAAGAAAAGAAGAATGTTCCAGTTAGAATGATATCATACCTTAATTTAAAGAAGTACTTGGGAGTCCGGAAGGGGATTTGCATCCATTTCATAAGGATGCTATACAGAAGTTGTAAGCCGTCCTTGGTTGCTTGGGACAGACCTTCCACATTGTGGACTCCGTTTGCCTTGCTTTTCAACCCAGAAATCCCTGAAACCGCATAACTACAAACACTGAGAATATATTTTGCTTCAGAACCAACCTTACATGCTTGGATTCTGGACTGCAAGTGACAACAATCAATGGGATTGCCAGCCGGATTCAAAAGCAGATAAAGATTTGCACTGGTTTCATGGTTACTAGCCCCCAACCGCCCAATTAAATTTTGTATCAACATTGAGTCTAAGTTGTTCTCTGTTGTTCCCAGACCGTTAATGGAAACAGATTTGATTAGGCTTGGAATGTAGAGAGAAAAACCAGTACAAAAAGCCAACAGTGAACAAGATAGTGCAAGTTCCGAAATGATTCCTGAACTTTTTCTGTCCATGTCAATGAATGATTTTGTTACTAGATCAAATTCTTGTGATAGCCTCTTCAACTGCACAGACATTCGAGTAAACTTCTGTAAGGATATGAGGTATCCAACCTGTCCATTATTGGGAATGTCGTGCTGGTCAAATTGAATGTTTTCTAGAACTTTAACTATATCCACCACTGCTCCGAGCACCTTTGCTCTTAAAGACAAAAACCACCTTTGGAAATAAAAAGTTTGTCCCATTCTGACATCAACTTTTAACGTTGCCAAAGAAGAACAAAGACCATTGTAAGCGGCTGCTAGCTCCCTACTGTTAATATGCTCCCTGATATTACTAGCTGAATCATTACTAGAAAGTATAATGTCGAATTCATGTGTCTCTATACCTTGTTTTGTCAACAGCAGCAACATGAGTTTCCTCTCAGAATCTGAAAATTGAACTAATGATCTCATCCAGCAGCTGCAGGAAATCGAACGAACCATTGATACTAACTGCTCAAATGTCATAGTGGCAGTGAGCCAGGCTCCCTGACATGCTGCATAAGTCCCGACTCTGTAAGCTGGCCACTTATTGTTTTCTGTCAGCATCCTCTTTGCACGTTCAATGGTACGAATTTCATGCTCCCTTGAGTGAGATATGCCCGAGTTCTTATCAAGATTGTAACTTCCCTCACTCTCATGCACCATGTTATCCCAAATGATTCGACAATGTAACAACAAAGAGTAAAGTGTGTATGTATAACATTCAAGCAAGTTGCTCTGACTTACAAGTTCAACCAGAAGCTTCACTTTGTCAAATACTTTGGTGGAGATGGCGCCAGCTTCACTGAGATTTTCAAGAAAGGCCCCCAAAAATCTGTACACAATAAATAGAAGCTTTGATCTGATAGTTCTGCCTTTTTCTCCTTTCAAGTCTACATTATCACGAACAAATGCATCTGCTTCTGATGTAACGACCCGATTGTCATGCATATATGAGAAAGACTTGACCAAAACATGTATTTGATCCAACACAAAGACATGCATATCCGGATATTCTCGAATTAGAAAGAAAAGAAGATTGAGCAGGCAATTAACTTGTTGAAACACTGGAGACTCGGTCTGACAAAGATCCAAAACTGGCTTCACCATCAAGGTGATTCGATCAATGACAAGTGAGGTCACATGAGATGGCAGAAGAGAGGAATGAGGTGCAAGAGATCCCATCTCTGTACTTCCCCTTAGTTTCCTTGAAACATCTACCAAAACAGAAAAAGCTAACAGGCCCTCAGACGTGATTGGAGATGAAGTTGCATTCTCAACAACGCTTAACAGCTTAGAAGATTCAAGTACATCAAAGGGTAGATCGGGTACCGTACATGAAATAATCTGCAGAATGCATATGTGAGTCAATATAAATTGCTAAAACGTTAATAAAAAGTTAATCTGTAGGACTGAGAAACAACCTTACGTAAAGTCTGCAGTGCATCACATAGCATGGGTGACGGAACTTGAGGTTCACCTAGTATGTTAAATAACGCTCTCACAAGATATGCATTTAAAGGAAAATGACACATTGCTTGACTGTATATAAAATGCAGGCTTCTTACTGCCGTTGCACGCAGATGAAGAGGTTTTTCTTGGCTAAGAAACAAGAGAAGCAAGTCCACCTGCATCCAGATGCCAATGAGTATTACGGATCGAGAAATTTGAAAGCATATGCTACCAAAAACAATTACCTGCTGAGATATAAGAAGGGTTGACCTGGAAGCCAGTTTGGAGAGAGAAACCAGCATTGCAACATGGCAATCCTCATCCGCGGACTCTAGCAGAAGCTTTAGGCAAGTCTGAAATAAAGCAGTGTTAAGCAAACATCAAAACATTGTACACAAGTAAAGAACTAAAACTCTAAAAGAACAATTCCCAACAGGGTTCATGCCAAATAATAAAATCGCAAAAGAACCTTGTAAGCATTATTTGCAAGAGCATGTGAGCATCCAAGTTTGGCAAATACTCGTGCTCCAGCCAACCTTATAGCAGGTGACGTTTCCGGTGAAGTCATCATACGAGGCAGCATCTCCAAGACAACGCATGCAAAGTCCTCTGATAACTCGGAAAAACATCCTGCTGCAAATAACGACGCTTTTACCTCCATAACGTGTGAGGAAACCAAACTAGAAAGCACCGAGTAGCGTGTGCTCGAACTCTCTTTAGCAAAATGTGCCCAGCAACCGAACAGACCCAAAGCCAAAGCCCTATCCTCAACATCCCCACCGTCAAACACAAGCTTAACCATCCCCAGCAATTCCGCCTGCGTATAAACCCGAGTTTTGGAGAAAACTCCGTTGTACTCTTTCCTTTTGTTCCTCTTCCGGTACTCAAACAGAAAAGCCTTGACAATACAGAGCCTTATATGCTTGTCTCCACATTCGAAAGCGTTGGCAAGACGAAGGATGATGGCATTTGAAAAGAGCTTGTCCTCGCCAGGAATTAGGTCGAACAGATGGTGCACAGCTGGAGAAGGCTCTGGCTCTCTGGTTAACCGTTGGAGTCTTGCACTGATTTCCGAAATGGCTTCGAGTGAGCTCCCTGGTTTCTTGGAGCGCAGGGCCTTCTCTAGCTCGATGCTCCATTCCATCACACGTGCTGCTGAGCTCCTTTCCATTCCACCTAAAATTTCAATTAGAATGAAACGAAAACTCCATTATACCCTTCTCCTCACTTTCGGCGAAAAGTAACCAACTTTTTCTGTTTTCAAGCCTTCAAACTACTGAAAAATCGAAGCTTTCCTTATCTATGGTAATCATTAAACTCAAAACAAAAGCTCTCTCTATCTCTAAACCAATTTTTCGCCCAAACTAGAAACCCATGTTAAGACTTCCTATTGCTACAGAAATAAAAGTAAAAAATTGAATCAAATTAAAAACTCAAATATTGTGAACGATCCAAAGTCTCCGCCTTTGTGAATTTGAATTCAAAGAGTTGCTTCAGGAACTGCTTGTTCTGCACCCAACTGCATTTAAATTAATTTCTGGACACCAAACTGAAAAAGAAAGAAAACGAAAAGAGGATTGGGTGAGGGACTGCGGGCGGCAAAGAGGGAACAGGTGAAGAAAAATACTACTAAATCTTAACTCTAAGTAACGATTTGTTATTAAAA